TTATTATTATTATTTTTAGAGACAGGGTCTCACTCTGTCACCCAGGCTAGAGTGAAACCTGGATGCAATCAGAGTGGTGCAATTATAGCTCACTGCAGCCTCAAACTCCTGGGCTCAAAAGATCCTCCCACTTCAGCCTCCTGAGTAGCTGAGACCACACACCCTGATTTTTTTTATTTTTATTTTTAGTAGAGACAAGGTCTCGCTATGTTGCCCAGGCTGGTCTCGAACTCCCGGGCTCAAGTGATTCTCCCATGTCAGTCTCCCAAGTGCTGAGATTACAGCATAAGCCACTATTCCTGGCCCCTATCTTTTAATTTTTAAAAAATCTGCCTCCTTAAAGTCTAGAGTGAAAATCTAATATCTCTGGCTATAATGTTCTTCTCCCAGGATCCCAAAACAACCCATTTGCAAACCACCTCCCTTTTCCTGGTCAGAATTGAATCTACTCTACTGGTGCTTGCAGTCACATCAATTTCTTTCACTCTCTGGGAGACACACAGCAAGGCGAGTCAGGAATGGGACAAACGCTCTGCTTTCAGAAAAGGAGGGCTGTTAGGGAGATGTCAACAGTTGAAGGGCTCCATCATTATTACTATCTGGGCTTTGGTTACACAGGCCTTACTTCTGCTTCGGGACTACAGTGAACCTCTCTCTTCTTCCTTCTCTATACCCTGAGGGTCTCTGCCCCCCAAAGCACAAATGTCTTCTGATGCTTTAGTCTCCTTAAACAGGGTGATGATTTGGGGTGAGTGAATTCCATTCCAATGTCCCAATGTCTTGGGGAAGTAAATTTCCCAAAAACAAAGCCACTAATTGGGTCGGCACGAAACTCCAAAGTGCGGCAGGACAGGTCCTTTCATGGGTCATGTTGTGATCTGCGGGGTAGGCATTCACTTCCAGCATTGCTACTGACTGTATGACCTTGAGAAAGTCACTTTTTCTCAGGGAAGTGATGACCCAGGTCCTTTCCAATTTTGATACTCTATGTGATCATACAAAATGCAAGAACAAGCTGGGAGAAGTGGCTCATGCCCGTAATCCCAACACTTTGGGAGGCTGAGGTGGGAGGATCACTTGAGACCAGAAGTTCAAGACCAATCTAGGCAACATAGAAATCCTGTCTCACGGGCGGATCACGAGGTCAGGAGATCAAGACCATCCTAGCTAACCCGGTGAAACCCCGTCTCTACTAAAAAAAAAAAAAATACAAAAAAAACTAGCCGGGCGAGGTGGCGGGCGCCTGTAGTCCCAGCTACTCGGGAGGCTGAGGCAGGAGAATGGTGTAAACCCGGGAGGCAGAGCTTGCAGTGAGCCGCGATCTGGCCACTGCACTCCAGCCTGGGCGACAGAGCAAGACTCCGTCTCAAAAAAAAAAAAAAGAAATCCTGTCTCAACAGAAAAAGGAAAAAAAAAAAAAAGCAAGAATAGTCCCTCAAGTTTCATTTTATAAAACAGATGCAAAATAAAGCAGATATGAAAACACCAAAACAAGAAATCTGCCTTAATTTCCCCAGGATCCTCCAAGTCCCTAAACCTTCTATTAGTGCTGCTCCGAAGGCAGCAATATGACTTGATCAGATTATCCCACATCTCCTCCTTCCTTGGAAGGTAGAGATAGAAATAAAAATGCATAGAAAAGCAGATGAGGCCCAGACAAATTTATTATGCCTACATGCCCATGAGATGTCCCAGGCTGGTGACGTCTCATGGGCATTCAAGGAATCCATTAAGAATGAATTCTGAGGCTGGACATGGCAACTCACACCTGTAATCCCGGCCCTTTGGGAGGCTGAGGCAGGCGGAACACATGAGAGGTCAGGAGTTCGAGACCAGCCTGGCCAACATGGTGAAACCCTGTCTCTACTAAAAATACAAAAAATTAGCCAGGCATGGTGACACACGCCTGTAATCCCAGCTACTCAGGAGGCTGAGCCATGAGAATCCCTTGAACCTGGGAGATGGAGGTTGCAGTGAGCCGAGATGGCACCACTGTACTCCAGTCTAGGTGACAGAGCGAAACTGTCTAAAAAAAAAAAAAAAAAAAAAAAAAAAACGAATTCTGAGGCTGGACACAGTGGCTTATGCCTATAATCCTAATACTTTGGGAGGCCAAGGTAGGAGGTTCCTTTGAGACCAGCCTGGGCAACATACTGAGACTCCATCTCTACAAAAAAATTTAAAAATTAGCCACATACAGTGGTGCATGCCTGTAGTCCCAGCTACTCAGGGTGGGAGCTGAGGTTGAAGGATCATTTCAGCCCACTGCACTCCAGCCTAGGCAACAGGGAGAGACCCTGTCTCAAAAACAAACAAAAAGAATGAACTCCACAATTTTACTGTTCCTTTCTGTTCTCCCAAGACCCAATATTTCTCTGAGTAGCACTGAGGCTATGAGCACAGGGTATGGAGTGAGACTGCTTGCTTCAAATTCCACCTCTATCATGTACTAGCTGGCTGACATCAGTGAGTGTTAGAGATTACATTACTTGCCAGCTCAGCGTTCTCCTGTCTATAGGCAGTAGCCAGTCTTTGGAAGGTGTTTATCCCTCCTCAATTCCTACAAATATCATGAGGCAGCCTCTCCTTCTCTCCCAGTTCCCATCCTGCCAACACTATTTAAAGAAAAATACCCAAGGAATATAGCAGTTACCTTGGTATTGTCACATTACTCTTTCCTGAGCAGGAAAGAAAAGGTCCCAAAACATTCCTTGCTCCATGTGGCCCTCAGATCCCACCCTATCCCCATCCCTGACAGTTCTCCCTCCCTTACGAGGAAGGCTAAACCCAGTATGAATAATCATTTGTAAAGTATTCTGTAGTTTTCAGGGTACTTTTGCACACATGATTTTGTTTAGTTCTTGGTAAGCAGTATTTGATTATCAATTCTGTGAGCCAAGGCTACTCCCCCACCTCCATTTTACAAATAAACAAACTAAATCTTAGGTCCACAAATTGTCTGTGCTCACACAGCTAAAAAGAAAGTCACACCAAGACACTGTTTTCTCTACTACTTCACATTATGATGTCCAAGTTCACATCCTGAGAACATGAGGAGCCTGAACCTTACGGCTAGTTACAAGCCACTAAAAGGAACACAGACCTCCTCATTTTTCTACCCACTGGCCCAGGCAGGGCTATCCAGGCTGAAGGACCACAGACATGATACAGATGCAAAGCACCAGGCAACAGGAGTGGGGACAGCACCAAGAGAGGACCAAAGGCCCACGAGGGTATAGAGTATCTGCCAGAGCATACTAGGTCATGACAAAGACCAAAGGCATTCCAGACCACCAAGGAAGTTCAAAGGAGCTCCCCCAGAAACAGCCCAAGTCCCCAGATAAACTGACCCTTCCTCACCCAGCACACCCCTTGGCCCTTTCTCACTCATGCTTCCAGTGGAGAAGGAAATGGACAAGCAGCCAGGCCTGAGAGATTGATCAGATTCAGCTATACACACTTAGCAGGAAGCTCAAAGCCATGGAAATCAAACCTCAGGCTCTCCCAAAGGCCAAAGGAGAGGTAGCCACAGCCCGGGTCTAGGGCTCCAGCACAGAGCCACCATCTCTTCAGACGCTGGTTGCCAAGCAGAGGTATAAAATGTGCCTCGACTTAATTTTTCTGTGGACACAACCTCAAGATGGGACCGCCAGACTCTGGAGGAGCTGGGATTCCAAAGGCTCACTGCCTCTCTGCTCTGGGATCGGCAGCTGGAGTTGGGGAGAGGGAAGTATTTTGGGGTCGGCGTTGCCACCCGCTGGGCCATTTCTCTTCCTAATATCTTCCCAAGGCCTAATGCAGCAACAGAGTAAGTTTTCATTCAGCACTGATTCAGGATTGGAATTTAGTGCAAATTGCTTACATCTGCCTGGCCATATCCCAAATAGGTAGTTTAGAGCACGGAGGAGGGGCAGCATTGGCCCACTTCTCGGAGCCCGGGTAGCTGCCTGCTAAAGAATCTGGTGCCATGCTGGGACCAGCCAGCCCAGGGTACAAAACTCTCCAACAGAGTTGAGAAAAAACAGCCCAAGAGGGCTGCCAGAGACAATACAGCGATTCCATCCCACGCATGATTGGAAGGACTGGGGCAGGGAAGCTACGAAGACCCCAGAAGCGGGTGGAGATGAAGAGAAAGCAGGCCTGAAGGAGCAAGAGCAATGGCAGATCTCTCTCTCTCACACACACACACACACACCCTCTTCAACATCAGCCAACTAGGGTGTGTGCACTAACCTCATACATTTGGTAACCTCTTCCCACAACCCAGGAGCCTGCCAAGCCCCTGGGATCCCCACCCTACTCCACCCCACACCAGCTTGGCAGCCTTGCTTGCGCTTCCTGCTGCGATTGCTCCTCCAACATCAAAGTCACCGCTGTCGGGAGCTGAAAATGAGAGACAAGTATAGGCCAGGAGAGCAGCGCCTTCTCCCAGCACCGGCGAACTCAGGCCTGAGGGTCCCTCTCCCTCTTTCAAGCTTTCAGTCTCCTTCTGCTGCAGTATCCTTATAAGGGAGAATCCAATTCTACCCTCCGCCCGGCTAAGAAATGTACACATTCCCCAGGCAAATGCCGACTTCTCACCCAGTCCACAGAAGGCACTAACCCCATCACAGGACAGGTTTTGCTTTTTTTCTCATCTTAAATAAACAAACCCCAAAGCCATTGGCTGGTTCAGATCGCCCTGCAGCTGGGAGCCAGGAAGTGTGTTTAGCTAGAAGGGGGTGGGGACGCGGGTGCCTGGAGCCCCAGAGGCCCTGAAGCTGCTGGAGTGGAGTGGGGTGGGGTGGGGTGAGGGGCAACCTGCTCTGCGCGGCGGGCAGGAGCTCAGGCTCCCACGGCGTACGCCGCTCAGCCCGCCGCCAGGAACCCTCGGCTGCTTCCATTGTTGCACCTCCGCTGTTGCCATGTTGGAGGGAGAGCCCCCTGACCTCGGCTGCCTCCACTCTGGGGGCACTTTGCAGACCCCGGGGCCGATGCTACGCGCAGGGTGCGTGTCCTACCTGCGCTAGCTGCTGGCTCTGCTGCAACACCCGACGTGTCTTGTGCCCGGCGACGTGGGCTGCTCGCTCCGCGCCTCACGGGCTCGCTCTGCGGCTCCAGGCGCCTCTTGCACCAGCGCGAGAGGAGCTGGCCGGCCGCACGCCGCCTGCTCCCGGGCCGCTGCCCTCTCCAGGCTCCGCACAGACCCTAGGCTCGAAGGGGCAGAGGGAGAGGTAGCAAAGAGGGCAAGGACCAGCTTGGGGGGGTGGGGAGGGGTGCTCTCCACCGAGAGCGTGCGCGAGCTCGCAGAGTCAGGCCACCCCGGGTGAGACAATAGCGGGAGCAGCGGGCGAGAGAGGGGAAGCCATCTCCCGGACACCAGAAGCACTGCACGGCGAAGCGAGGCTCGGCCAGACCCTGCCTGGACAGGCAGCCACCCGGCCGCCGGCTCCAGCCGCAGCGCCGAATCCGCCGCGAGCCGGAGGGCGGGGCGGCTGCTGGAACCCCGGCCGTCCTTCGCCTCTCCCCTCCCCTTCCCCCTCCTCTTCTCCTCTCCTCTCCTCTCCTCCTCTCCCCTCCGACTCCCTCCCCATTTGCCATTGCGTGGGGGAAGAGAAACGCGCTGGCGTCAAGTTGTGCTCTGCAACCCAAGAGCCAGGATTTCCACTCCCCACTTGGGTGAGGGTTTTTGCGGATGGTCGTTACTTTCCCCTGCTGGAACCTTGGCTTTGGGTCAGAGGAAAGCGCAATCATTCTGCTAGAAATGACGGTGCTGAGGTCTAGTTATCCGCTTCAGGAATTTCTACCATAATTACGGTAGCGATGTTCGGGGGATCCCCTACCTTGAGGGTTAGGTGGGGGTAGAGAGAGGCTGTCTCCGGGCTTTACACGCTCAGTGTCATTCGTCTTTCTGTCTCCTTCCTTCCTCCCTTTCTGGAAGGGGAGTCTCGTTTGTTTTTGTATTCGCCCAGGTGGATCTTCCGAGCTGCGATCCAGAAAACAGCAGTCAGCCTAAGTGGGGAGGGAAGATAGAAGATCCTTCAACCCAACTAGGGTAGTGGGGGGGAAAGAAAAAACCTTTCATACAATATGTTATATTTAAATTTTCTACTCTAAATACCTTTCTTCCAGCAGTGGTCTCTGGAAGAATTTTCCTAAAGGCTCCACCCAAAAGAAACCATGAGTTGGCCAGATCCTCCTTTGCATTTCGTTTGCATAGTACCAACGATCACTGATCTCAAAGTATATTTTCCTAAAAACGTGAATCGTGTTTTCCTCCACTGCCCTCATTTCTTCTTTCTTTCTCGACAGACTATGAAGATTAACACCTGATTCTCACTCAGCCTCTCAAGTAAAACCATGATTAAATAAATTTGTTATACTTTTCTCTTGTTAACTTGTCTTTTGTTACAGAAGTGTTGGCTATGACTCTTATGATGGGGAGGAAAGGGATCACCCCCCTTTCTGCTCCTACAGTGCCTTCTGTACCCAATGCTTGTGACTGGGTAGTCCACTTCACCCTCTGAATATCAAGAGTAGCGTCCTCACCTATCACGCAGGGCTGTTGTAATGATCAAAGGAGAGAATCTAGGTGAAACATCTTGATAATTAGCTGAAGGCAGCTTGGTCTACACATATGTCATAATGTATATGATGCTACTCCTGATCTCAGGAGCCACAGGGGTTAAAAAATGTGTCCATGCACGTATTCACCACTTGTTCACCATACAAATATTTATGACAGCTTACTCTGTGTCTATCATCAGGTCAAGCTCAGGAGCCTGAGAGAACGCAGTGTTACAGGGGTCACTGGTCGTTCTATGCTGCTGGGGTGAAAAGTCTGAAGGAAAGAACTAACAGGAAGTAGGCCTGGGTAGCTGAGTGGATGATCAGATCACAGGCTTTATCATGCATTTTGGTAAGGAAAAAATTGAGTAAAGAGAAACCAGGGCATGCCAAAAAGTTTAGCTGCTGTAGGTGACAGAGAACCTGCTATGCACAAATGGAGCTGGCAAGTAGCGTGACCAGAAAAAAAATTCCTGGCATATTATAGAGAAGGATTTGGAGGATGCACTGCATGTCTCCCCTGTGCCCCTCCAGATCTTCCTGGCCCTCTGGCTTCCTAGACGGGGTTGGCCAATGGGAGCCATGGCTGAAGACTGAATAAGGAGGGAGGTCAGGGGAAACCGGATATTTATTCTTCAGGATTCCTCTCTTTGGGGTCACAGTGCACTGGCTGCCACCCTCAACCAAAGATCACAGCTTCTACGGGTGGTTCTCCCCTCCCTCTCTCTTTTTTTTTTTTTTTTCTTGAGAGGGAGTCTCTGTCACCCAGGCTGGAGTGCAGTGGCTCACTGCAACCTCTGCCTCCTGAGTTCAAGCGATTCTCCTGCCTCAGCCTCTTGAGTAGCTGGGACTACAGGCGCATGCCACCACACTCAGCTAAATTTTTTATTTTTTAGTAGAGACAGCGTTTCACTGTGTTAGCCAGGATGGTCTCAATCTCCTGACCTGGTGATCCACCCTCCTCAGCCTCTCAAAGTGCTGGGATTACAGGCGTGAGTCACTGTGCCACTCTCTTGATTCAGGAAATCACTCCCCTCCTTTGATTTTTCGGGCCTGGGGGTGGAAACATGGATTTGCTACTGGCCCTAGTAGATTGTACATTATTTCTTGTGGTTTTTAAAATTGTCTCCTTATTTTTTAACTTCTCCTGAAATTACCCCTCAAGTGCAGTGTGCCATTTGCTTTCTGCCAGGACCTAATAACACAGCTTAGGAGTGCGGCCTGGGAGCTCAACGGAGAAACCATGGCTACCTTCCAGGTGGGAAATCAGGGAATCTCAAAACAGTGCCAGAGTTGTGGCAGTGGGGATGAAAAAACTAGGCGGATACAAGAGATACTTATTAAGAGAAATCAATAAAATTTGATAAATATGTAAAATGTAGGAAATTAGGGAAGAGGAGGACTCTGGAATTATTCCCCATTTGAAGCTTTAGAAATTGTTGGCAGGTGGTACCATTCCCTAAGTTAGTGACAATTAGTAAGACAGGGCCCAGGTGTTGGCAGAGGGATCTTGCACTTAATTTTGAACATGTTGGGTTTGAGGTATCTGTGGAATGTCTAGATGGGGATGTCTAGTAGACAGCAAACTGATGAAACTAAACTCAAATTGGGGTGTAGATAAGTGATAGCAGCTTTGGATTCTGTAGGTTATAGGTGGTCAGTGAAGTTATAAGCCTGTACGAGGTCGTCCAGATGGGCATAAGGAGGAAAGAAGAAACAATCAGAGAGGTAAGAGAAAAACTGGAGGCCACAGAGTGTCAGAAACTAAGGTGGGAGAATCTCAGAAGAGAATGACTGGATAACAAGTGCAGCAGGAACCTCCAGGAGGGTAGGGCTGGAAAATGCCCTTTGGATGGACAAGAAAGTCACTGGTGCTCATGGAGTAAGAGTGGTCATAGTTAAACCAGCCTCCAGTGGGTTAATTCATTCCCTGATTCAAAGCTGGTACTCAATAAATTCTTGGTCAGTAAGTGAATGAATGAACCTGGATCTAGAATAAAAGAGACATGCTTTTTCTAGAAGCTTGGCAACTTAAGACAAGGAGAAATATAAGGCAGTGGGTACAAGGGAATGCAGGATCAAAGGGGAGATTTTTGTTTTTTCTTTTTAGGATAAGAAAGGCTTAAGCGTGTTCATATGCTGAAGAGTAAGACCAAGGAGAGCGAGATCATGAATAGGAGGGACTTGGGACCCAGGCATATGAGGTGGAGCTGCCTCTGATATCTTTGAGAGGAAGGCTGTACAAAAGCAGAGGCATTTGTAGACTGGTAAAGAGACTAGAACTTGAGACTAGATGTTGAGAGGACTGGTTGCTGTCTGGTAGTCTCTAAGCAATCTCCTGAGAGAAAGGGGCTCAAGATGAGGTTAAAGGCTTAAAGAAAGTGGTTAAGGTTGCCAGGCACGGTGGCTCACGCCTATAATCCCAGCACTTTGGGAGGCCAAGGTGGGTGGATCACCTAAGGTTGGGAGTTCCAGACCAGCCTGACCAACATGGAGAAACCCAGTCTCTACTAAAAATACTAAAAGTAGCTGGGTGTGGTGGCGCATGCCCATAATACCACCTACTCGGGAGGCTAAGGCAGGAGAATCACTTGAACCTGGGAGGCAGAGGTTGCAGTGAGCTGAGATTGTGCCATTGCACTCCAGGCTGGGCAACAAGAGTAAAACTCCATTTCAAAAAAAAAAAAAGTGGTTAAGGTTAAAATAGAAAGGAATAAGGAATGAGAGTGGTAGTTTCAGAGAGATGAGAGAGAGAATTGTCAGCAGAGTTGAAGATACAGCTGGCATTGGATACTCTAATATGTTGTGGCTATGAATAAAAATATCCGAATGTTTTCATCATTTTCTTCTGCAGCACTTGGAAGCCCAGGTGTAGAACATGAGGCCAGGTTTCCAAGATAGGTACAGTGGAGGCATAAAGGGAAAAGAGGGCACCTGACAAAAGACGAAGTCCTCAAGAAGGGAAGTGAAGCTCAGCAAAGGCTGTGAATCTTGAAGAAAGGGGAGGAAAGGGACTGGGCTACCTCTAGTCTTATTTCCCTTCCAATCTTTTCTCAAGCAACCCAGCCAGGGTGATGTTTCCAAAGCAAACATCTGCTTCTCCTGCTTAAAATCAACTAACATGTAGGACATGGGATTTTTTGACTTTGGTTTTTAAACATCTGTATTCTCAGAGCCTAGAACAATGCCTGGCACTTGTGCTCACAAAATTTTGGGCAGATGAATTAATGGATGATTTTCTCTAACTCTTAAAGTCCAATCTACTAAGGAAACTCTGAATTCTCTCACAGTCAGACCTTGCTTTTCACTCTAGCCTCAGAGAACAAGGACTTTGTCTTGTGCATCCCTGCATCTCCCAAACTGCACCTACCACACAGTATTCAATAAATATGTATTGGATGGCCTCCCACATTCCAATGTAAACTTCATACTTGGGCCTTACAAAACTCCCTACAGTTCCGAAAACACAATATTCTCACCTAAAGGCCCTTCCACACGGTTTCCTGGAAAGAGCCTCCTACCTCCACTCCACCTCTACCCGCTTCCCTTTATGCGGCTGTCTCTCTACATGGTAGGCAGAAAAATGGTCTCCCAAAGGAGGAAATGTCTACTTCCTAATCCCTGGAACCTATGGCTGCATTATTTTACGTGGCAAAAGGATTTTATGGATGTGATTAAGTTAAGGCCCTTGGGAGTGGAAGATTAGCCTGGATTACCCAGGTGGGCCCAATCTAATCACGTCAGTCCTTAAAAGCTGGGAACCTTTCCTAGCTGAAGTCAGAGAGAGACGTGATGATGCAAGAATGGTCAGAAAAATGCAACACTGCTGGCTTGAAAGTTGAAGCATGGAGGTCCTGAGCCAGAGGGTGTGAATGGCCTCTAGAAACTGGAAAGGTCAAAAACAGATTCTGCCCTAGAGC